GCCAAATTTTATAATGTTATATTAAAACATAGTTCAGCATTTGCAAAGGGACAACCTACATTTTAATAAGTATGTTTATAATGATTTTAACGTTAAATATTTCATGTATAATTGTAATAATTTTATTATTTATTTAAATTATATATAAATATAAATGAAAATTGTAAGATATATCATTTTTCAAAAAGATGTAATATAAAAATAATTAATTATTTTTTAAAAATTCATATATTAATGAATGTAGAAAATTAAACTTATATTAAACAATTTTTATAATAATATATAATAAGAAAATAAAATCCAAAAAAATTAAAAAACTTTTACATGAATTTTAAATTTATATCCTTTTTTAAAAATATTATACCTTGCGAAAATTTTATTATTACATATCATTATTAAAAAAAATGTTTAATATATATATATAATTAATTTTTTACAGTCATTTATATATGAATTTTTAAACAATAATTAACTATTTTTATATTATATCTTTTTGAAAAATTTTATATCTTGCATATTATTATATGCGATTTAAATAAAATACATAAATATTTAACCTTTAGATGTAAATTTTTTATAAATTTTTTTATCTGTTACTTCTGCAAAATAAGCCACATAGTTGATGAGGAAGTCAATATAATCCAGTGATTCGAAAAAAATTAATATCATCTTTAGAAATAGTGTGCAACTCAACAATAAGAGCGATAATGGTCAGATTTATATATCAACCAACAGAAATACATAGAGAAATATACACATTTTGCTTGTTTAAAGAGCTGAAATATAAATTCCAAATAAATGAATCAGATTCTCTGGTTCCATAAGGTGTATTCCAAAATTTTTAAAATTATATAGAACACTAGCACATGAGATTTAGACGGCTATAATAAAAATTCATATTATATCATTTATATAAATGTAATAAAAATTTTTTAAACATGTCGAAATTACTCATATATTACTTTGCATAGATGTTAAAGTAACTAGAATAAAAAAATTGGTATCTCTATCTTGATACACTCTTATAAAAAGTAATTCAGATACTATTTAAGAAGCATCTATAACTATTTTAAAATAAATTTTGATATACTTTTATTTTACATCTTAAAATAATAATATTTAAACTAAATTGTTAATAATATGTCCGAATTCATTACCAAAAAAAACGAGTTAAATTTTATTTTACGTAATGAATGATGACAGCATGATAAATATTATATCATTTATATTAATTTAAAAAATATTACAATAATTTTTATACCAATATTTCTAGACAATTTCTAAAGGAAATTAAATAAATTAATATTATTTTTTGGGGGCACCCCTTAGATAATATATATTGATATATGTTTTAGCACTCATCAAATTTATAATTTTTATTTTAAAATGATTGTCCGAATTTTAATATATGATTATTCCAATATAAAGTTGTTATTCATTAATTATAAGAACTCCTTTGCTATCACGTGTCACATTAGAAAGAGTAATATATCTAAAATAAATGTCTTTACAGCAGACAGATAAATGGGAGACTTTAATGATAATTTGAAAATGTTTTATTATTAAAACTATCAATCATTATTTTAATTATATTATATAGATGTATGTGATATAAGCTCAATAAATTTTTTTAGCTCACTTTAAAATTTGAATTTTAATAATAGAATCCTAAATTAAGCATTATGCACCATCATAATTATAATATAAATTATATTTGTATCCAGAGATATATGTAAAAACGTATCTTATCCATTTTTAGACGATGTATATCTGTTAGATCCATTTGAAAAGGGTATATTTTAAAATATGCTCCTTTTTATCAAGTATACTGTATCCAAAGGGATATTTAAAATGTTGAAAAGTGAAATATAAATTTATTTTATTCCCTATAAAAAGAAAAAATTATTATTTTAATACAATGATTAATATAAATATATGGATAAGAAATAATAAAATCGAATTGTCTAATTTGCATTACTAAAAAAAAGTTAAAATGGAATATTGAATATTTTTAAGCAAAAGTATAAAAATAAATAAAAAAAATATAAAATTTAGTAGGTATTGTATATACAGATATAAGCATCATATTAAAATGATACAAAACACAAGATGATCTTTTATCTTAAATAATTTATAGTACTGTTCGACTATGATACTACATTATGAACCATGATTTCAGAAAGTTCCCAAGTTAAGAATATTTATGGAAGATTTTTAATTAAAATCTATTAACAAAATTTTGTTTATCCATATAAATAAAAAATAATTTTTTAAATTTTTCATTTTGAATATTAATATTGGCGGGAATGATCACAAACAACTCATAGGGGAAATTCGGGGACACTTAAAGATGATATATAAGTTAAACAATGGTGTTGATGTCAAGGACAACAATATACCATGAAAAGTTTATATAGGTACCAGCGTATTCATGAAATAAAATTTGTAATAAGCAAAATGCTTTCCCCATCTATATAGACAATTTTTCAATCTCTACCTACTAATACACATGAAGGCAAATGGCTCTTAATGATATCCGGATCAAAGCCAGCGGGGTGCCTCCAATTTAAGATAGATAGCAGGGCTATTTAAATGACGTTAGTGGTTAATACTAATTCTGATACTAAATAAACGCACTAATTATAAGTGTCTCCCGATACAATCCGAAGACGAGCTGGGTAAATTGCCATTTTTTATTTTCGGGATGAGTCTAGAAAAAAATTTAGGACTCGGAAATATTTCAGTGATATCAATTAAATGATTGTATGATTCATTTCAGATTTTTATAACTTAGTAAAAAAAATTTGGGGATAACTCGGGATTATGGATTTAATTTTATTTAGATTGCAGAAACTAATTTTGATTTTTTTCAAGTTGGGTCGGAATGTTTTTCTTCAATTGGGTTGGGTCGAAAAAATTGATATCTTTCAACTGTATTAGATTCGATAGAGTATAAGAAAACCAACCCTACAATTATCAAAATAGAATCTAATATCTTCTGCAAAAAACTATAAGAATAGTACAAGGTAGCCTTTTTATCCTTAACAAACGAAATGGAGGAAATATTAGTAATTTCTTGTGTGGGTTTTATGAATACTGAGGACTTTTTGACCAAATGTTTGAAAGGGATGGCAAGGAAAAAATACAATACGGCAAACAAATATTAGAGTTCGATCAAAAGGTTTGGCTTATAATGTACGGAAGAAGTCAAGTGCTAAACTAAATAATCTAATCTTGACATAAACATTTTCTGGGGTAATAGCTTTTAATTTATTATCTATCCACCAAAGGAATACGAACTTGATCTAATATAATATTATACTTTGGAGATCTTTTAAACTCGATGAATCAACAGTTAATGATATTTATCATATTATATAAATGAAAGTAGATTACATAAAAAAGATTGGCCCTTACAAACAGTCGAAAAGTAAATTTATACACAAACCTTAATTTTTTTTGATTTTGTAGGTATCTGTATCTAATAGGCATTGAACTAGAGGTGCTTGTTTGCAAGGCAGACAACGTTATAAAAAAAATAGATTTTTAGGCATTCAGTTATTTTTTTCTATCTTGGAAAACTTCCCAAATCCCAACCTCATAGGATTTTCTATCTGCAATATTTGTAGAGGATTTCAGGATGTCTCCCTCGACAAATATTGCATATAGAAATCATGAAATCCCTATTTCCCAACCTCATAGGATTTTTCATCCTAAAATATTCTATGTTGACATGCCTTAATTTCCTATTTCAGTATAAGGCACTAACATTTTAATAATATTTAATACAAAACAAGGTAAAGGCTCTATGTATTTTTGGATAAGGATCTCAAATATTTGATTATTGTGGAAAATATTAATAGTGTTTCTTATAAGTAAAACAGTTTAGCCTAAAAGCCTTCCTAATATGTCAATATAGATTTCTTCTATAAAATTAGTTATTATATTGCTTTTTAAACTATTATTTGTAATATCTTTATGTTTTGGTGTGTTTCGAGGTTTAGAACCTGATACGGGAGTCATTAGGAAAATAAAAGGTATAAGCCTCTTCGGCTAGCCTTGCGGTTTCTTACAGTGAGCACAAATTGAACGTTTCAAAACGCATATGATGCATTTTAAATGCATTCCTTTAAATTGGATAGCATTTTATTTTTGTTTTAAATTTAGACGTTTCATACTAAAAAATAAAAATTAACGGTTCAATTTTGACATAGGTGCGTTTACGTTTTTTTTTGTGTTTTGAAACGCTGCTTTGAAAAGTTCAATTTTTTAAATTTCCGGATATCCAATTCAGAAGATAAATATTAGTAGATTTTATATTATTAAATTGAGATAAAGTAATGTATACTACGACGTAGCAAAAGAATGCAAAAACGAAATCGAAGGCATGTAAAACTAAATATATCCAAATCTTGCAAAGAATTTCTCCTCCTATATAGTATTTTTATCAACGAGTTAATTTACCGATTAAGAAACTACATAAAGTAAAACCTAGCAAAAAAAGTTGTATATCATGTTTAAAATGATAATTTTACCATATAACCTAGATAAATTACAAATAACTAGAAAGGTGGATAGTATCATCAATAATAAAGGATTAAAAATGAATTAAGATTTTTTGGCAGGCATACTAATTATAATAATTGACTTGCTCGTGGAGTTATCATTTCTTAACTATAACAAAACCTCACTAATAACAAGGGTTTACTATATATAATAAAGGTCTGTTTAAATGTCTATTTTATAGATTTCATCTAGTAGAAAACCTTTATTATCTAAATCGGGTTATAATCGGTATGAAAAAAGTGGAATTTTTTTCGATATAACTAATTCGTGAATGGCTGTACTTATGAAGCATAAGCCAGTAGACTTAATTGAGTTTTATTGTAGGATATAAAATATGCTAAATGAAAATAAATATTATTATATAATATTGTAAATTCGTCATTTATATATATGATGATATAATTTAAAACTAAAAAAAATGAATATATATCACACGATTAAAATTTTTTTATAAAGATTTCGAAAAGATTCGAATGTCATTACATTATGGATAAGGTAAGATATATTTTTATTCTCAAAATTAATTATTAATAAGTTTAATAAAATATAATTCTTAAAAATAATACTCAGCCATAATATAAAATGTTGAGAAGTATAAAAAAGAAGTATTTTAAGTACAAATGCAATATTTGATTTTAAAGTCAAGTCAAAATAATAGATATTTAAAAAAAGGTGAATCTAATTTATAGAGGAAAGAGGTAGTAATAGTAACCGATATAAATGTAACTTAATAAATATTGGAAATAATGAATGTATTAAGACCAGTGACTATTATGGAAAAATTTATAATCACAGGTTAAGAAATTATTATGCAAAATTAATGCGATTTAAAAATGAATTTTGTTTTAACCATCTTATTTATTTCAACGCCAAAAATTGTAGAAAGATTGATGACCAAAGTCGGGTCTAAACCTATTCTGTTTATTCTGGGAACCGGAATTATTGGCGATATTTATAAACTTTGTTCCTGTCGTGCTAGATTTATCGTTTTGACCATTTGAATTATTGATATTGGGATGTTTTGCGTTATTAAAATTATATTCGGTATCAAAATGCCCATTATTATTATAATCAGAATTTTTGACATTTGAATGATTAGAATTGTTATAAAAAGTAGAACCTTGCCGAGAATCAATAAATGTGGGGAGGAGGGAGAAAGGAAAACCCCTATTTTGATTATTGCTATTATAATTATTTTGGGGCAATTTATTGAAATTATTATTGCTATAATTTCCGTTAATATTTGAATTCGAGTTTACGTATTTATTATAATTTGCATGGTCAATTTCTGCATTGTTAAACGGTTTTTGTTGGGTAATAGTATGGTATGGGTCGTAATTACTTTCGTTTAAGATATTGTCATAATTATCAGAAATTTCGTGGTTGGATTGAAGAAATTTGTCATCGATGATATTATCTTTTATAGCGCAAGATGTGAAAGCCTCATCAACATTAAAACTTGAACTATGGTTTGTATAAGAAATTTTTTAAAAAGAATATTTATTAAAAAAAAATATATGGATATAAATTACATTTTTAAATATCTTTAATGAATAAGTGTATATTTTAAAGAATAACTAAAAATATCTAAATTACTTTTTCTTTTTGTAATGATTGAATCTTGTTTCATCCAATGAATATAAATCCGTTTCGTGCTTAAAATTTTCTTCCAAAATTGAGGGAGCAACGTAGGTGAACCCCTATATCATAAACGTGTGATCAAATATTTAATAATATATTTAAAATCAAGTGTAAAGAATATAAAATTAACTTAACCACTGGCAAAAAAACTCAGCATATTATTTTAAAAAATTAATGGTCTGCTAGAAGGAAGCTAATCTTTAATTAGCTCAGAAATAAATCCTAGCAAATCTAGCACCCAAGATATATAAAGAAATGTAGAAGTAAAATAACAATACAAAAAATAATAGACAAACAAAAAAGTAAATTCATTCATTATATATATATTTTAATGACTTTGAAAATCTCATTAGCACTGGAGCTTAAGAGGAAACCATCTTCGACTGGTGAGTCGACAGGGGCCATGGCCGTAAACCGGATGTCAAATTGACTTACGTCCTCATCGCATGTTAATCTCGGCAAAATTGGAGGAGTAAGTTTTCGAAGTTCTGCTGTGGTCCAGTCGATGGAAGCAAAGTAGGAATGGCGCTGAGTAATTATAAAAAATATTTTATATGCACAATTTAAAATATGCGTCTAACCTTGTGTATATATAAAAGTTTAATATAATGAATTAATTAACCTTGATGGCTAATGAATCATCTTTACTAGAACCCAATCTTTGATGTCGATTTCTCCGTAAAAGCTTTGTATTATTTAAAATTAATATTTATAACTTTGGGAAATAAACTTTATAATTAAATTGAAAGGAAGAATTTTTAAAAAAATAATTGAGGCATTTATTATATTAATATATATAAAAAAATTATTTATAAACGTTAAAAAACTGTACAAATAAAAAATTAATTTGTGAACAGCATTCAAAAAATATTCAAGTTTACAAGAATACAATTGAAAATATAATAAAACATCTACGATTCCTTAGTTAAAAACATTTTAAACAATTCTATATCCACCTGAAAGTGCAAACCATCAAAACTATGCATAATTAAAAATTTATCAGTGAAAAAGGCAAATTTATTTATGAAAAATTAAACTTTTCGGATAAAATCTTTGGCCTCGTGACTAACATAATCGGGAAACAAAACCTTAGCCTTAAGTATTTTTTCGATAGTTTTTTTGCGATTTTCGGCACTGAATGGAGGCTTTTTTGATGTTTAAAAATTATTAAGGAGTATTTTATAAATAATTTATAATTGCTAGTATGGAAATTTTTTTAATTGTCTTATAAATATTATTAATTTTTGTTTAAAGCAATTTTGATATCGTTAGGAAATAAAGTTCTATAAACGATTAACTAAGAATCTTATGTTGTTACAGTTATCTAATATTTACACAAAGATGAACATTAAACCTTATTGGTTTTACACTGCATTCACAGTTAGCGCGATTTCGCGGCAAAGTATATAAGTGCTGAAGCAAATTCGCGCTAACTGTGAATGTTTATACTTATTACTTTAAGAAATAATTTTAAAATGTTTCTTCAAGTCTTAAACATTTGAGTTAATATAAAAATTGTACCCCGCCAGTTAACATATCAAACATAAGAGCTCCTAGGCTCCACCAATCGACTGCTTTGTTGTGCCCTTTCCTCATTAAAATTTCTGGTGCCCTAATTAAGTGTTAAATATAAATATATTACAAGCAAATATTAATATTTGAATTTTAAAAAAATGTTTATATAAGTGTGGATGTAGTGTAAAAAATTAAGATTTAATTCCTTAATGATTTAAATAATCTCGATTTTGTAAAAACTGTATTATATCACTCATCTTTTAAATATAATCTAGTTTTTACATGTATTCAATGGTTCCACAAAAAGTATGAGTCAATGATGTACTATCGAGGGATTCCTTGCACAACCCAAAATCGGTTAAAACAACGTGCCCTTTGTTATTATGAACGAATTAAGATGCTTATAAAAAATCAAGTTACAAATATATAAAATATCTTCCGAAAGTGGAAACTTAATTTATAATAAATATAAATATTTAAATAACATAAAAGATGATTGATTATAATAGGATACCTTCGGTATCTAAAAGTATATTCTCTGGTTTTAGATCTCTGTATATGATACCATGTTTGTGCAAATGACTAATGGCCACTACAATTTCGGCCAGGTAAAATCTTTATATAAATAAAAATATGTTGTTTAAACAACAAGTACTGCATATAAGACATGTTTAATAAATATATAATTTTAAAAATTATATATTAGAATAAGTGATTTACATCGGACCTAATTAATTTTAAAAAATTTGTCCGGCCTGTTGTGTTTAATTGTACTATAAAAAAATATGTTTTTTTTGTTTTGTTCCACTCAAAAGTATTATACTTTATTTTGTCTTAACCTAATCGTAATTTATAGACAAAGCCTGTTTTTATATTTTATTCACTTAAAACTGGTCCTAGCCAGTAAAATATTATAATACATCGATATATTTTTTATATTGTTGTTTTGTTGAAAATGTATAGTATATAAGGATTAATTTATTCGATATTATTTTAATGTACTTATTTAGAAGCGACTATTCTTAACTAAATAAAATTTTATTATGCTAATTAATCGTGCGTATGTGGTGGTTAACTTCATTCTGTCCTACCCGTGTCTGGACTTGGGTACAATGACAAAAATGCCCTCTAAATCCGGTCCCTCAGTCCCATTCTCCGATAATCCGGGACAATCGAACTCCGCCGTTCCCTCCCCCTCCCCTTTAGTTGGACTCGACTGTTCAACTATTTCACGGCTTAACCCAATCCAGAACGAAATTTATTTGTACCGAAATAAAAAAAAATTATTTGTTCGCCTAGCCCGAATTAATAAATAGAAAATTTTAATTGTAAAAAAATATTCCAGTAAAAAAATATTGGCGATTGTTTCTTGCAAGAATTTTAAAATATATCAATTTATTCCGCAAAATTGAGTATTATCATATTTAAAATTTTAAGACAAACCTGACACAAATTTTTTTAAATATTAGGCCCGACAGTCCGAAATCTTTTAAATATGTATAACAATTTTTAAACAATAAAAAAACGATTTTATAAAATTTTTAAGTATTAAAAATATTATTTTTAAAAGGAAAGGTAAATATCGCCATTTTTAATAGCTATTCAGGGGGATTTTTGAAAAATAAACCTTCAATGACAGCAAATTTCTATCTGTAACGGCGAACTTCCTCATTGACAATAGCAATTTTTTAAATGTAAAAACACCATTAATATTCGCAATAATTCATTATTTTTTAAACAAACGTGTTTATATGTAAACATATATAATAATATTAAAATAAATTCAAGCTAAGAATCATTTTTAATTGCAATTATTATTTATATAAATAATAATCATATGTCTATAATAAATAAACGAAAGTCGAATTTTAATTAATCAACAAATTAAAATATAATTCGTAAATATACAAATATTATCATTACCGACAAGTTTCTTCCGAGAATATTCCCTCCCTTTCTAAATGCATAAACAGTTCCCCTCCTCCCAAAAAATCAAGTATGAGATATAATTTGCCCTCAGTTTGAAATGCGTAGATCAAATCGACTATAAACGGATGCTAGTATTATTGATTTTTTTTAAATAAATGTATTTTTTTTGTTTTTTTAGCGAATATAGCTCTATTGTCAGATATTCAATATTAATTTAAAGGTTATATAGTTAAACCGAACAATATATATATTAATTAAACCTTAATATATATTATAATAACAATAAAGTTCAATTAACTTTTATAGCTTCTAAAATGTTCCTTTCGGCCTTGGTGTGGGCAGTGTCTTTTTGATTCCTTATGATGACTGCTTTTCTGAGTACTTTCATCGCGTAAATTTTACCAGCATTTTGGCCCTTAATTTTTCTCACTTGAAATACCTTTTTCCCCCCATTTAAAAAATTTTAATTATACTTAGATATTTATATGGTCAATTTAATGAGGTGATGAATATATAGAAAAATTTCTTCAAATTTATTTTAATGGTCGGGGATTAAATCGGACACTTAATCGAGGTCATCATTAAAGATTTTAATTTTATCGATAGTCCAAAATTATTCTTGCAAAAATATTTCAAATAATTAGTGCGTGATTAAAATTTGATATATTTTATACTAAATTTTGTTACGCGCATTTTAATCCTGACAAAAAAAATGAGGTTTGTAAATTCACGAAAATAATAATAAATCATTTTCAACAAGGATAAATAATTAAACCGAAACACTATCAATAGATTCAAGGATAAAATACACTATTCGCGAGAATATCGTATATTATAACCACGTGAAATTTATTAAAATAAAAAAAATTATACATTCCTAGTTAAATTTTTTGATAATTTGAGCAAAATTCCTAAACGATTAATGATTTTGAGCACTATGATAATTTTTACAAAAAGGAAGTTTAGTGCCATGCCCAAATATTAGACAAGTTGAAATACTTATTTTTAAAAAAAATAATAACCTTGCCATATCCTCCTTTACCCAGGACCCTGAGTATTTGAAATTGATCATTGCTTACTTTTTCTTTCCCGGCATTGACCAATGTTTCATTCAAATCCAAGGCCTCATAATTCTTACCATGTTCCCTATTTATATATAATTTATTTAAAAAAATAATAATTAATGATTGATAATCTTGGTGAATTTTTTTTATGCCAGCAGCGAAAAAAAAGTTTTTAAAAAAATAGAACTTATCCTTTTCATTTTAAAAAAAAAAAATTCACATAACAGTTTTATATTAGATTTGAATTCAACTTCCGTCACGCAATAAGTGTAATTGTTTAAAGAATAAATTTTAATCATTAAATCTAAGCCTACGTGTGCGAATCAACATTAAAAATTTAGTTTTTCTCTCTCCTAAAACATTACTAGTTTATATTTTAATTTTAAAATCCTTAAAAAATTTCGTATATTCGTTTTCAAATTTTCCATTATACGGCATTTTATACAATAAGCATAATCGATTTAAAATGACCAAAAAATTGTAAAACATTATTTAAAATTTTTTATAATAATGGGAATGAAGGAGATTTAGACTTACGGTTCTTGAACTTCGTGCTTGATGTTTTCCATGACTTGATGCTATTAATATTTTAATGATTATTATTAGAACGATTATCCAATTTTTTTACAATTATACAAAAATCAATCGTTAATATAAAAATATGTTTCATTTACATATTTTAAACTGTCAAAATCATTTATAAATACAATTTTTAGTTGGTTTAACAGCTATATATTTAAATTTTAATAGTTAGCAAAACGATTTAAATAATAAAAAAAAATTAAATTATGTCTAGCGTATTAAACATAAAAATTTCCCAAGTAAAATAAATAATCTTGGAATATTCGAAATTCAAACAATAACAAAATATAAATGTTAAATCATTTTTAGCTTATGCTCTAAAGAGGCAAAAATTGATATATATCGGCCGATTACCTATATCATAGATCTGATGTCGTTCGTTATACATATTTATCTACCTTTTTTTATAGTATACCTACCACTCTATGAATAATATACCATAGTCATAACACAAGTATTTAAAGTATACTACTATTAAATTTAAATTAACTATTTAGTTATATTTATCAATCATAAACACTCTTATAAAAGCAAATCATGTATTTTTATTATTTTTATCCAGCTACTTTCGTTTGAGTAGTATTTTACTAGTAATTTTCTACGAACTGCGGTTTTTAGATTTCCCTATAACATAAAGCTTATTATCAGATCCATCTCTTTACGATAAACAGAACTTATTATTTTCTTTATTTGGAATAAAGCCTAGTGGTGTTCCAACAAATTACATTGTACTCTAAAGCTTGGTAGTTAAGCCCTGTACTATATATTACCTCTTTTATAATCTTTAATAAAAGAAGAGTGTATTGCTCTATTCATCTGTATTAATAGCATCAGTACCCCCTCCCCACACCTCTTTCACTACAAACAGTATGAAAATTAATATTCTGCCCTTTTCTAAATTTCTGTAACCATATTTTTTAAGATTCATATTTATCAGCAAATTTAAAAAAAACGAATTTAATCATATGACGGAGAGTTTAATATTTCATATACTGCTCAAACTTTCAATTTCTATTTAAACAACTTATAAAATAATTAAAAATTCCGGTCTGGGCCAAAAAAATATAGGACCGGGCTTGAAAATAAAAAATAACTAAAAATCTATGAGGGGCCTAAAAATTTTTCCTCTGCAGGTCTCTGATTTATAACAAAATTATTTTTCATTGCCTGGTTAATTATGATGAGAGCATTTTTTTAACTTTCATTTATATGAAAGTTTATTCGATTGTAACCATCTTCTCGATTACCAATCTTACCCACAATTATTATAAGCCAAATTAAATTTAGAAGATATCGTAGTTTCTTAAAATAATGCATAAAAAATATAATATTCAAAATTTTAAGTTTCAATTTGTAAAAAAATATAGACTTTTATAAAATTGGGAATAGAAAGGACCTAGCAGTTATTTTCTTTCCACGCCACCATCACCCTAGCAAATAGTTTTTTTATAAATATAGAAATAATTATAATAACATTAGTTTCAAAGATTCAGCCGATTCTTAAAATGCTGAAGAATCGGCGCCAATTCTTCCAAAGATCCTGCATCTCAAAACTCCTCAAATAAATGAAAAATTCAATTTTTTGAATGATAAATTGTATTGTATTCAGTGGCTAATTCCTTTAAATTGGACGATATAAATGCATTATTGATTTTCAATAAAAAAAATCATCTTTAAAATACATGGTCATTATTTTTCTTACTATAAGCGTTCACATATTCTTACAAATAGCTTTATAAAAAAATATTTAAACTCGATTTCTAAAAATAAAGGTATATAATCTTGCCAGAACCTTCCTTTCTTTTCAGTTTATAAGATAAAATAATTGGTTCTCTTTGAATGACAGTTTAATTAATCAATATTTACAAAGCCTACGTGATATAATTTGGCAGAATATCAGTTTGAAATAATATAAATAATCAATTTAAAATACCAAATTTGGAGAAAATGAAATATATAAACAAGGTAAATATATTAGAAATGTGACTGGTCAGTGATAAGGGCCCGTTCTGACTAATCTGACGCCCTAGTTCTCTTTGCATACAAAAGTGTTAATTTACTTTTAAAAAAATAATTAAGTAATATATATAAATTTTTTATTTAAGTTTTGAAAAGTTAATCTCGCTTCTAAATTTAATTTAAAAAAAAAATTAATCACCTATTACTTTATCTTTTGAGGTTCCTACAATGGAAATTATTGCCAATGACGATCAATGCTATTGGCTCATAAATGATCTCAAATAACTTTTGATTAATTTTAATTTCGGTAAACTACTTTCATTTGATGAAGTCATTATTTTTAATCTTACTGTGCAACGTTAACATAAAATTCATGATTTCTGGGTGACATATTTTGATCGAAGACATCTGATAAATTAACTAATTCATCTGATTTGCTATAATAATACTTTCACCGGCGTTTTACTATTGCTTAAATTGTTAAAAAAAATTTAACAATGCCCCTCCCTATACACATTAATGTGTTATTTCAAATATTGTGGAGCTATATTCTAACATGAGTTTTGAAAGATGAAATCTATCAATCAAATATTTTGCAGTATCTATGAGATAAAAATATGTTTTTCTCTAGTTTTCTTTGGAATCAATAATTAGATCATTTTTTTTCTTTTTCGAATTGTTAAGCTTATAGGATGTTTTGATTCAAATATCAATAGCAAAACTAGTGGCCTCTTTTGTTAATTTTTTCTCAATTCAATAAACTTAAAAAAAATTGTTATATAATCAGTTATTCATGATTTAATACGGATTTTGCGTTAATTGGCTTATGAAATTAATTTTATCTAATATTTTATACCATTATATTATATAAATTTCGGAAGCAACAATATTTCTGTAGAATATTGGTTTGCATTTTTCATGATTTCATATAAAGAAGGACATATATTTCTCCAAAAATGTAATAAGTTTTAAGAACTTTTACTCAACCCATCGTATATCAAGAATCTTTAAATAATATTATTTTTTAAAATCCATTTGCAGAATGGTTATCAATCAAATTTTAAGTTTGGTCAACAGCAAGGAATGTAAAAAACTCTGTTGTTCATAATTAGGATCAATTTGAATCCATTGTTTCGCTTATGAAGCTCCATTGTCATAAATTTTAAACAATTGTAAAAATTTCCTTTTTTAAATTTTCAGCAGTGCTACTTTCAATAGATTAAAATTTATACTAAAATTCTCTTTTATATCTAAATTTACATTTTTCATATCTGCAAATCGAAATATGACTGAAATTTGCTTAGCTTTAAGATGGAAAAATATCAAAGCGGTGTCTTGGTTCAATTTCTGTTTAGACCAGTTTATTCAGATTTTTAACTGGAGCACCCTATATTCTGTTTTGATTTAAGAGTATACCAAATCTAAATACTTTCTTTGTATTCTGTTTAGAAGCTAAGCTATATAGACAGATAAACAGATTTTTGTTTAAAAATGAAATAAAAAAAAGTCAAGACACAGTCTCCGCGTTTTCAAACAAATAATAGGCATTTATTTTTAATTTTTCGAAAATTCGTTTTTTTTGGCGATCTGCGCTCACTTCCTAAATGGACAGAACAGGCCCTGTAACTGATCCTGGATTTTCTCTATAAGAATCCAGCCGATTCTGTTTGGCAACTTCTTATAATTCGGAGAATTACAATTTTGTATCGATAGTTATTCGTATTCAATTCTTAAATTGAATAGTTTAGTATTCGTTTCGTACGAATTGAATATTTTAGTTTTTGTTTAGTTATTTTTTATATAATTCAGATTAAATATTATTTATAATAAATTTATAAAAGAAAGTCATTCTTTCATTCATAAAAATTTTCTTTTTAAAGACACGCGATTTTTGGTAATCATATTTGGGTGCCTATAAAAAAAATATGCTAAGAAGATTTAGAATATCCCTATTATTTACTCTCCTTCTGATATAAGCTTTATATTTGTTTTAATTTGAGAGAAATTTTAGACAAGAATTCATTATCACATCCAAAAAAAATCAATATGGCAAAATGCGAGGTAAAATTAAATACTTGATTAATAAAATATTGTAGATTAATTTGTAAGACCGCAAATAACTATTGTCATATAAGATGACGGGGGTAATTTAAAATTGGCTCCAATACCGGTGAAAATAGATTTGATATGTCTCCAATAAATAAATAAAAAATCCAATTTAAAGATAGATTCAACTAATATGAAAATTAAAATAAATAATATACCTCGGAAGGCTCGTCAAAAATGGCGTCCACGTCATATTCGTATTCGGATTTTGTACCAGTACTCCCGTTATAATTGATTTCTATATCAAACAATTGAGCCATCTAAAAAATGGGGGTAAGAGCAGCTCGATTTTTAAACTAAATCCAATTGGTATTAAGAGTTGATATTAGCGTTCTTGAAGAATAATTATGAATGATTGTAATTGATGTGAAAATGATTTATGTTGTCGGAGTAAATTTGTATTATTTGATAATAAGGGCAAGTTGTCAACCAAAACCTTGTCATTGTGTGTTATAGATCTAGGCTCATATGCTTTTTTTAGATTAAAAAATAAAGATTAATGTTTTTATTGATGAGCAAAATTAACTGAAAATGTGGTATTGTTTTTGTAGTTATATAATAAGGCAATAGGAATTCGAAAAATTTTAATAATTTTTTTAAATAAAAACATTATTTTTTTTTATATCTTATTTATTTATGTAATTAAATGTTATAGTAATTTCACATTTAAAAAACTTCATTTAAAATTTAATAAGAAAATCGTCTATGATGAATGAACGTTCGGGTATTGAAATTTAAGTTTTTCATAAATATGGGTTGCGTTAGTATAAAATCCCTTAAAATTAGAGGTCAGGCATCCGTCCTGTATTTTATTTTCAGTATAGGACGCGTATTAATGATACCATATGTGGGAAGAGATCCAAGTTAAATTTTTCCAAATACTTTTCTCACGAAATTAATATCCATGATAATTTTTTTTCAATTTATATAAAATTTAAAATATTAGCCAGAAATGTATTCTTCAGAATACATTAATTTTTTTTAAAAAAAATTTTGGTGTATAAATTATAAATAAAAACAGCTCTTTTTTTTAAAAAAAAGGAATTATCCTTCGTATGCAACTTCCTTATTTTTGGCCCGGGAAGTTTTACAAAAATTTTCCTGCCAGTAATTGTTGTAAGTGAATAAATAATGATAAATTTGCATTATACAAGGTTTAAAAAATTTAGGCTAAAATACCGGCTCGAAAAAAATTCTGTACAAGTTATAATGATTTCTAATGAAAATTATCATAGGACTTCCAGAACATGTTCCATATAAGAATATGGGACGCCTCATATGCGGAGTACTCCTACATGTTCCTAGCTTTTAGCATAAGCAAATGCTTGAAGTGTCTTTATAAATAAAAAACTCACATTCAAGATGTGCAATGGGCTAACTTAAGACTACAAATAATATTATAAAATAAATTATACATGTATAATATTTTGCTATATTAATATATGAAATTGCACAGTCTAGTAAATAAAAACAAAAATTAACTATATAACTAAACCAAAAACAATAAAACCAAAATATTATATTAAAAATTCAGAAATTTTATGTATAAGTTGTAAAAGTAGTATATTTTTTTTACTAAAACATAAAATATGCAGCATTTTGAAATATAGAATTAATTTTTTAAAAATATAAAGCTATGATCATCCTAATAGTAAAATACAAATAACCCAGTGTTTAGAAAATATTCCTGCCTGCCCATTATTTGTTTAAATTTATTTAGCTCACTGCCCATTGCAGACCTCTTCTACCTCACCACAGAGATAATTTATATTTATAAGGGTGTCTATAAATATATTTTGTAATTTGTGCATATAAAATTAAATATTTTAGACAAAAATAAGAACATTATTTGGATAGAGGAAGAATATTAATCTTTATTCTCATTTCTAAATTAAGCAATCTATTCAAAAAGCAGGTAGTGTCCTTCTTGCTTTTTTTATTTTTATTTTTATATGTTAACATAAGAAAATAATTATACTCTTATCAGCAGATGAATATTTATTTTTGTCTTTTTGATTTCAGTTACAAACAAAAATATATTAATTATCTATAATATGACTAAGAATATAAAAACATTTTTTAAAATCATATTTTAAATAATTTTAACTGTTTTTTATAAAAATGAATATTATTATAAGTTTCAAATGGATAACTTTGCTTCCAAATTAATGTTGAAAAGGATTTTAGTTTTTTGGCACAACTCAAATTTATAAATATTATATAATGTAGACTGAGGAGCATCCCAAAAAATGAATTACACAATATTAAAAATGATTATCTTTTTTAGAATATATTAATGCAAATCGCTGCCTGATTAATATTGGGTTTTATATCCATTTATATCTATTTAAAAAAAAAACACCATAGGCAAGAAAATTTATATTTAGATAAATTTTAAATTTTGACAAATACCTTTGTCTTAAAGTTTTATGTATTATCAATCACTTTTTTAAAATCGCAAAGTCGATTTTAGAGTGAAGATAGAATTGTAGTCAATTATAGTATTGTAAAAACTGAGAAAAGGTTGTTTTTGGGGTTAGCTCCATAGGTAATACTATAAATAGCAAAAAATATTACTAAACCATAGAGGATTTCAAAAATGTTTTGTTTGCAAAAGATTTAAAGTGTTAAACCCTGAATATCATCCCTAGCTAATATATTTAGTCTTACAGTTCTAAAAACGCCCTTTGTTAGTAAAAAAAAGGTCATGTTTTTAAAGTATTTTGCCATATTTTACGTTTGACTAATAAAGGTTATAGGGCTTTCTTATTATGACCAAATCGTAGTAGTTTGGCCTTTAGAATCAATTCCGCTGTTCAGTTTGGATCGATAGAAAAATTATGTAATCTTTTTATCATAATATTCAACGTAACATATAAACAATATCATGAATTTTCAGAATATATTCGTGTTTATATTCATACAATTTATAACAATATAATTTGCCTTATTTTAACGACGTTAAATCTAGGATATAATTTTCCAAGCTATGATAAATTATTTAAATGTTAGGTTTAGGAAATCCAAATGCGTGAAATCATTTCAAAAGCCAAAAAGAATAGAAATGAGTTTCATGTATTTATTTTTTGAGTATTGTAAACCAAAATATAATATTCAAAAATATAAACTTCGTATTAGACCTTAACCTTATATGCTCTTAGAGCTTAAAATGAATATGCTTTTTCGCTGCTGATCAGGAAGTTTTTGTTAAACCTTACCGAATCTAGTTAATTTATCATAATTAGAAAATTATGTATTCTCAGCTTCACACATAATTTTTGGCGTATTATGTTTTATCACCCCTATAGCCGCATTTATAGTAAACGCGTTTATATTCTGAAGCTTCATGACATTATTCATACGCAGCGTGAATATTATGATAATAAAGACTACATAAATAGGCTATAAATTTATAAATGATGGAGCGTTATTGATACTAAATTTGAAAAACTACTATGATTTGCGTTGCATTGATAAAAAATATGCGATATGAAAGCTAATTATTAGTAAAAAGGTATGATTTTTCTTAAATATTATATAAAATACATTATCTCTATTAGTTTTATCTGAAAACTGAATCATCTATAACTAACAACGCGCTTTTTATAATATGCTAGTGTATGATCTTGGATATATTAACACTTTGATATCAATTTGCATGTATGCCATTTTTTAATCCTCTTATAGCTCACTAAGAATTTAGTTGCTAATCTATAGTGTTACCTGGCGAAACTCACCTCGAAAACTACCTTTTCTCAGGGTTTATTATACAATAATTAACTACAATTCTATCTTCACTCTAAAATCGAATTTGTGTTTTAAAAAAATGATTGATAATGCCTAAAACTTTAAGACTTTGATATTTATCGAAATTTAAAATTTATCTAAATATCAATCTTATTGCCTATGGTGATATTTTTTTAAATAGATATAAAAGGATATAAAACCCAATTCAATCAGGTAGTGATTTATTTAAATACTTATTAAAAAGTAATCATTTTAAACATTCTAATATAAGACAAATAAGATTTACAATTTAAAATAAAGCGATTTTAAATGCATAGGTACACATAGTTATGGATAGGGATGTACCGATATTATTTATCGGATCGGGTTGATATTTCACCCATTTTAAAATATCGGTTATGGCCAATATTATAAAATTTTCCGATCCGATATAAAATGGCGTCTTTTACAAAAATAAAATGTTATAAAATTTAAAAAAAAAGTTATATCTAAAATCATTTATTATTATAAATAAAATCGAAATCCATTTTTATGTATATTTTTTTAATAATAATAATTAATTAATAAACATTCTGCCATACTGCTAATTTTTTGCACATTCTGTTTATAAAAATGTGCTATAATCTCTTCAAAATCTGTTTTTAGTGAAACTGGTGATATTGACAGTTACCATCTCTGCAGGCTGACCTCTGATAAATTGGAAATTTTTTTATTTCTAAAAAGAAATCTTCGATATATTAATGTTAAATATTATTTTAAATTTCATAATATATTTGTTTATTACTTATTATATATATAGTTTAATGTTATTACTTATTATATAAGAGTAATTTAACAATAAAAATATTTTATATACTTTTAGAATTGCAATTTAATTGAATCTTAACTATAACTGATCATTATAATATATTTAAATGACATAAGTTATGGTATAGTTAAATTATTGATGTTATACTAATAAAAAGTATATTAATTAAAACCATTTGTATTTTACAGAATACAAAATTAGATATGATATCGGATCGGTAATCAGCCAATATAATATCAGGTATATCGGATCGGATCTGCCTCTAAAAATGGTATCGGTACACTTCTAGTGTTATGAATAATATAATGAATAAAACTTGTTGAAGATGAGGAATACTATTAGCATAAATTTATTTTAGATGTACTTCTCATATATTTAATCTATTCTTTGATTTAGAGGTAAAAAATTTATAAAGAGCGCATTAATAATTTTAGAAATATTTTCTGTTCTAAAAGATCCTAGTTATGTGAAGAAATGACAGAAAATATTGCCAAAAAAACTAGATTCAAAAGTCAAAAGATATTGATTTCCATAACAAAATCCTTGGATAGTATATAGAATTGCATCCAACTATGATTGGAAAGGTATAGAAACATTTCTTATTAGATAAAAATTTGGGATCTTAAGTAATGGAGAGCTTAAAATAGAATTTTGCTACTGATAATATACAAATAATCCTAATCTTCAATAAACTCTTAGGTACAGTAGCTTCTTCAGCTTCTGTACAATAAATGTTTCCCTCTTTCTGCTTAGTCTAATCCACATTTGGAAGGAAGCTTAGACTAGAAAAAAAAATATTTTAAAGATAAAATTAAATTGTTATAAGTTAGTGTTGTTAAACTGCTTGATTTTAAAAAGGCTAACCCAAAATTTTGGCCAAAAATTATTATGCAAGACCATGATTTTACTCAAAGATGGCAGAGAGATTTGGACATCTATTAGCAAAATCTCAAGGCTTCCATAATACTATTTTGGCCAAAATCTTAATTTAAAATCAACAAAATTGTGTCATTTAACACATTATTGGTGAAATTAACATTTAAAAAGAAATGGCATTGAGTATTGTTTGTTACATTTACAAATATGAGATAAAATAAATTGATAAGAAATTTAATTATAATAATTTTTAAGCATAGGAAGGTACCACTAAATAATTTTCACTTATTAAACTGCTAGGTTATAATAGAGAGAAGGTATTTTTAGCAAAATGTGAAGTGATAACCCTCTGATTATTACACAATGCATATTTAAAATTAAATTTTTTTAAAGTAAAAGAGTGGAGGAGACCCCTAAAAATAATTTTGGCCAACAATAATCAAGCAGCAATATGTGATTGATATTTTTTAGATTAATGCATAAAATTTGATATAAGAAATAAAAATTACATTTTAGTAAAAAAATGACTGTAAATAGTTATTTTGAAATTTGCAAAAAAAATTATTAGTTACTTTATAAAATAGGTTAATATATTATAAAATGCTTTCCCAAATTTAAAATTACTGTATATTAAATATGATGCTACTTAAATAAGGTGCTCATATAGAATGTTTGTTTAGTGTAAGGCTTATTTTTTGGAAAACTAGCACACCTTTAAATTATGCATTTGTGTTTTGCCAAACTTTTTTTTAATAAAAAAAAAATGCATTCCTTGTTTAACTAGTTATGTTAGAAATAATGTAGCTAGTTACTTTCTAAGGACATGGGTACTTTTCAAAAGTAACTTTTAACACTAAAAATATTATATTTTTCAAATTGGAATGAACCATATTTTATGGCTAAAAGGAAAAATAAGATTCCTTTAGGCCAAATTTGAGATTTAAAAAAAAGTTGATTTTAAAATTTTGGTGAAAAGAATATTTTTCAAAAATACTAGCAATGTTGTTGATGACTTATTCTGACATTAGACATTTCTTAAAAAATAAAATGAATTTTCTAGTATATTGCATTATCAATAAAAATTTTAACACATTATTACCAAACTATTATACATTTAACTGCAATATTATAAAAATCAAGGGTTGATTATATGAACTCCCATGGATATCAATTGTGCAGGACCCATTCCATCATTTAATTAGTCTTGATTTTAATTGACTCACTTTATATTTGATAAAACTACTGAAGTATTTATCTCATCAAAATTAGCAATCAGAAGAATGTATTTGCTAATCTTTCCAAATTAACAATCACTTCATAAACTATTGAAAAGAATTTAGAATGGAAATGTTTAAAAAATACTTTAACAAGTTTTCAAGGGCATTAATAAAGCGTCTATAAATTTTTGCTTAAAATATCAGTATTTCGTATATTATAACTATATTTAATAAAAGTATGTAATACGATAAATTGGGAATCATTGTTCTTACGCATCCCAATAATTACTCTTTGCAAAAGGAAAAATCTTAAATTATAGTAATATTTATATGCGATCTAATTAAAATAAGATAAAAATTATAGTAACATTTATATACGATGTAATTAAAATAAGATAAAAATAACTTAAAATTACCTTAGCCAAATATATCAAATATTCACTTCAAGTTTAACGCTATTTGAAATTGGATAATAATTCAAAAATTAAAAAATGTTTTAAAATTTATTTTTAAATTATTCTAATAAAAAGTAATTATTTTATAAATTATACATATGAATAAAAGACACGATAGCAGTGGCGTATCCAAAATTTTCCTATAGATGGGAAAATTTTTCCTTAGTTGACCTTCGTTCAGCTTTTTCCCGGCCTCCAAATGGGTCATATAATTATGTTATTCTATTAAATTATTAATAATTCAATAATAAAAAGAAGAAATAAAGGTTATAATATAATCCAATTTTTTATTTTAAATTAGATACATTTATATTTAATAAAAAAAATTTTTAACGTAAAATTGAAATAAGTTTAGTTTCATTTTTTTTTATAAAATTTGCTTTCAAAAACTCAGCTTAAATTCTCATACAATATAAGTAGAATAAAAAAAATTTATTGAAAATACAAATTGTAGTATGTATAAAATATTGACAAGCAAGTTTTTATAACTTATCAAATACAATATTATACAAAAAATTTATTAAATACTATAATTATAATGTGATTTTTAATTTTCGTGAGAAATTTGCCAATTTATCAAGAAATAGGAAAATCCTGGATATGCCACTGACTCACAAGGAAAGGAAATTTTAATAAAATTTATTTTTTATAAGACAAGTTTTATGTTGGAATTGATTTTCAAATATTTGCATTTTGATTAGGTGGGGGAGGGGAGGGGTAAAATTAAGGATTACCCCCCCCCCCCTCTTTATTGGTTACGCACCTGCATGATAGGAATATTGTGTAAACCTCAAGATTTAGCACATAGACCTTCAAATCTTTCTACCCTCTCTCCAGGCTTAAATAATATTATTTTAGCTAAAATCTTAATCTATCCGTTTTTTAAAATCGGCCCAGATCGGGTAACAGCACTAAAAGCTTGATATGGTTCGTTAAAAACGACCTGATTAAGATTTTACATAAATAATATTATGTAAGACTAAAGACTTGTTAAATAGAGGTCCAAACCTTTCCTCCATCTATGAGCAAAATACCTAATTAATATATCATAAAAAGTGCCGAACATCATCTTAGCAGAACTACAACTAGTTGACTATATTCACTCATACGAAATTTCCCTGTTAGTGTTGTTAAACGGCTCGTTTAGAGCCGATTTTTAAAAACGGCTAACTCAAAATTTCATCCAGAAATATATTTCACAAGCCTGAAGATTTTGTTTGTAGAAGGAACCTAGACATATACTCTCGAAATTTCAAGGTTTAGGCAATATTTTTCTGGCAAAAATATTAAGTTAGCTGTTTTTAAAAATCGGCTCAAAACGAGCCGTTTAACAACACTAGTCCCTGAAACATCTTTTAGCATTTTCAGAATGTTAGATATATTTATTTTATAATTAATGACAATAACAAAAAAAGATTTTGTATCTTAACTTAAAAAATCAGTTTATATTATCATATTTTTTTATCGTTATAATTTACATTTTTTATTATTTTATCACTTAAATTAAATTTGATCTTATAAATGAACATTATACTTTTGTTTTACGTAACTTAATGATTATTATTATTTTTTTATTATTTGTTTTATAGATTAATTAAATAGATAAATATAGCCCACATTTTTCTAAAAAGAGATGGTATTTTATTTAGTGTTAAATTATTTATGATACAATATTCTATTTAGTGATACTGATATTTTTATGATATGCTATATTGATGAATAATTCTGATACAGTGGTATTAGGCGGGTACGCAGTGCCCCCCCCCCCCGCCAAAGCAAAAAATGCAGATATATATCATATTCAAGTTATTTTATCAATTAATTTCCACAACTTGGCATAATATATTATTTTCAAATTTGTAGTGGTGTAATATTTATATATCATTTTCAATTTCTCAATTAATAATGATATATATAAGAATTTTTTAAACATATTGATGATGATAAAAATTCTAGTCATCCTACAAAAAAAGTATAAATAATTTTATAACATTTTATAATAAAAGAAAAATATACTTCTTAAAAAGGTATTAAAGTTACTTATGATAAATGTTTTTTTAATAATATATTTATATTCCACCCCTCAATTTTCAATATCCAACAAACTTCTTGCTAATCAAAAGTTAAAATTTCAAAATAACTACTAAATGGATATGAAGCATACTCTATCCGAGACAATGGAGCATATTGCAAGATATATGCCCTGTTTAGCCTAAGATATGCTGGAAGAAATAGTTAAGCTTAACAGTCTTGTTAAGATGGTTCCATGTCAATTCGAAATTTTTTGCGAAAAACTTTTTCGAAAAACTTTTATCGCGAATGTCGTTTATCGCGAATGAATTTTATAGCGAAACTTTTATCGCGAATCCACATTAGCAAATACTTTTCCGCGAAGACAATATAGCAAAACAAATATCGCGAATTTTTTATAGTGAAACTATTTTCGCGAAACCTTTAAAGTGAATACATTAGAGCGAAATTTTTATCGCGATCAATAATCGCGAAATTTTATAGCGAAGTCAATATCGCGAAACATAAACCTAAAGACATTATAGCGAAAACTATTTCGCGAAATATAACGCGGCCTATTATTATTTTTTTTATTAAAATTATTTATTTTATTTATATTTAATGTTAATATTTTATTTATCAACAATAAACATATTATATGATATATATTTTTTATATATATTATTATATTATGAAATGAAAAATAAAATAAAATGGATTACTTTTATTTGATGTTTTTTTAATAAAATAAATGATATGCATGCTACTATTGTAATATTTTTTGTTACAATTTATTAGTGATTTTCACGACCAAAATTTTAAACAAAAAGTATTTTTTAAGTTCAAAAAGATTTTTGAACATATTTTGATAAAAAATTTAAATTTTTTTTGAGGAATTCTTTTGTGAATTTTTTTATAAATAAACAATCTTTTAGGTAAAATCTTTTATATTTTTTTTTATCGTTTTTGTAAAATTATCTATTTTTTATGTATAAAATAGGTGGGTTTCCTAAATAATTTTTTTTTAAAATATTTTTATATAACTTATTTATATTATTTTATTTGATCTTTTTAAGGAAAATAATTTAATCTGACAATTTTTATATTCGTTATTGAAGACTTGGAAAAATATCAATTATCATAATCGGTGTTTTTAAACATATTAGATTTTTTTACGGTAAAATATGTGTTTTTAACATGTTAAATAAAAATTTCAATTAAGATGCACCACATAAAAGTGACAATTATCATAATCGTTATTTTTAAAGTTTTTTAAATTTATTGACATAAATCGGCTTAAATAAGTATTAACAACTTCAGGGAAGATGTACCCTAGATAAGTGACAATTGTCATAATCCTTATTATTAAAGTTTTTTGAATTTTTTTGATGCAAATGGGTAAAAATGTAGAATGTAAACTTGTTAAATTAAGATTTCATGTAGATGTACCACAGAAAAGTGACAATTGTAATAATCGTTATTTTTAAACTTTTTTGACGTTAATGAGCCAAAATAAGTATTGATAACATGTTTAAATAAAACTTTAGTGAAGATGTACCCAAGATAAGTGACAATTGTCATAATCATTCTTAAAGTTTTTTGAATTTTATTGACGCAAATGGGCAAAAATAAATTGCTAACATGATTAAATAAAACTTCAATGAAGATGTACCCTAGATAAGTGACAATTGTCATAATCGTTATTTTTAAAGTTTTTTAATTTAATTGACGCAAATGGGCAAAAATAGAAATTGCTAACATGTTAAAATAAAATATTAATGAAGATGTACCATAGATAAGTAACAATTGTCATAATCGTTGTTTTTAAAGTTTTTTGTTTTGATACAAATGGGTAAAAATATAGATTGTAAAAATGTAAAATAAAAATTTCATGAAGATTTACTATATAAAAGTGACAATTGTCATAATCGTTATTTTTAAAAGTTTTAAAATTTTTTTGAAGCAAATAGGATAAAATTTAAATTGCTAACATGTTAAAATAATAATTCAGTGAAGATGTACCCTAGATAAGTGAAAATAGTCATAATCGTTATTTTTAAAGTTTTTGAATTGTTTGACGCAGTTGGACAAAAATATTAATTGTTAACATGTTAAAATAAATTTTCAGTCATAACAAAAAAACAAATCGATATTTTCATTCTCATAATCGTTGTTCCTTTTATCCTGCTTAAAATTTGGTAAAAATATGCAAAGTGATTATTAAAGATAGTTGTAACCTATGTTAAATTCTAAACTTTTAAGATATGGATTCACAATCTTATTCCTTTGATTAATAAATTTTAATTCTACATTATAAAAATGTATAACCCTGCATTCACAGTTAACAAATATTTTTGTATACTCGTGGCAAAATAGTGCTGAGTCTGAATTCAGGGTAGGATTTTTATAAAAAGAACTTAAAAACCATATGAATATTATTTAATAATATGATACAATCGTTAAGATTTTATTTTTATATACATATGGTTAATAGGATTACAATCTATATTTTAACCCATTTACATCAAAAAACTTTAAAAATAACGATTAAAACGATTGTCACTTTCAATGGTATATCTTCATGTTTAATTAACATGTTTACAATCTATATTTTTACCCATTTGCAACAAAAAATTTTTAAAAAAACTTTATTAACAACGACAAATGTAACTTATCTATGGTACATCTTCATTAAATTTTATTTTAACATGTAAGCAATTTATATTTTTGTCCTTTTGCGTCTAAAAAATTCAAATAATTTTAAAATAACGATTATGACAATTGTCACTTTTCAATGGTAGATCTTCATGAAATTTTAATTTAGCATGTTTACAATCTATATTTTTACCCATTTGCGTCAAAAAAATTCAAAAAACTTTAAAAATAACGATTATGAATTGTCACTTATCTAGTGTACATCTAACTGAAATTTTATTTAAACATGTTAGCAATACTTATTTTAGCCCATTTAAGTCAAAAAAATTCAAAAAGTTATAAAATAATGATTATGACAATTATCACTTTTCT